ACCATTCCCCCGAAACGCAGCCTCCAGACTGTCAGGTCCAGTGGAAATGTTCCAGTACTTGTCTTTATGAACCTCTTTGCTGCCTTTGCCATGGTGGCCATTCATTTCTCGCATCTCTCTCCCTCAACTTCCCGACAGGATGCTCCCCTGGATGCCCTTCCCCTTGCTCTCCTTTGTAGGCTCCTCCTCCTCTGTCCACCCCATAAATGCTGGTATTTTCCTTCCTCTATAATCTCAGCTTCCTGCTCTTCTCACCTTGCATGCTACTTGGGCAATCTCATCCTTGCCAATAGTCCTAACTACATTGGCTACATTGACCATTTCTAAATATTTTTCTCCAATTCTACCTCCTCTCCCAATCATGTAGACTCCGATAGCCCTTGGGCTGCTGAACGTACCCCTCAGATACCCTACAGGCCCATCAACGGCAAATATATCTAAATAATGGGCATATGATATCCCCATCTTTTCTTGGCCCATTTGATCTGCCACCCTCACCAGGCCCACCTCCCACCTCACCCACCCCCCCCACACACACATACAAACCTTGGCTTCCTCTGGAACTGCTGATCTCAGTTTCTGGCACCACCATCTACTGAGTAACTCAGGCCAGAAATAGGAAAGCAATTACAGGCAACTCCCTTTCTCTCATCTCCTGTTGACAACCAATTACCAAATCATACTGATTAAATCTTTCATAGTTTTCTGATCTGTCTCCTCCCCTCCGTCCTCGCTACCACCGCTCTGGCTCGTGTCCTCATGGCCCTGGTTCATGTCCTCACAGTCTCTGGTCTCCACGAGACAGCCTGTTTTCTTAAATGCAGCTCCATTCTGCAGCCAAATCACCTGTTTAAGTCACAAACATGACTGCATTTCCTTCTCCTCGAAATCTTTAAGCTCTCCAAGTCCAGGGATAAAGTTCCAGCTTAATAACAATCGTGATACACAAACTCCCCAAGGTCTAGCTACCTTGAGAGTCGCCTCCACTCTCCTGGCTTGTGCTTCAGGCCCCAATAACTCTACACTTTTCACAACCATGAGCACACATCACAGTTCCATGTCTTTGGGCCTCCTTTATTTGATTTCCTCTGCCCAGAATGTCCTTGATCTGAGTGAGTCATGCTCATCCTTAAGCTGCACTCCAGGAAGACTTCTCCAAAAGCCGCCTGAACACCCAAGTTCAGGAAGTGCCCTCTGTGTTCTTGTGGCTTCCAGGCACCTACTCTATGTCAGCACCCGGCATAGCTGGGTACCTGCAACTCTCTTCTCCTAACCAGACCCTAAGTTCATCCAGGGCAGGGAGCATGTGTTTATTCATTCATTCAGTCAGTCATCCGACTAACCTGTGTCTCCTATGTGCCAAGCAAGGCCTCAGGCATGGATACCTTACATTCCCTATGCACATTGCCCAGGCAGAAAATGTATTTTTCATCTCTACCTCTCCAAAATGTAGCAAAGGAAGAGGTTCAGTGAATGCATGTTGAGCTGACATGAGCCCCCCAGCAGGTAGGTGAGGAAACTATGTTTGGTGTACGATGCTGGCCAACAGAGACAGCATACAGTCACAGAGTGCCACAGGCTCTGGGGTCAGCAACAGGGGTTCAAGCTCCAACTCTGCCCGTTTATGGCAGGCTCTCCTTGGCTTAGGACCTTGCCTTCTCATCTCCGACATCAGAATTACTAAGGCAAGGCCCACTTCCTGTGTTACTGCAAGAATGCAGTGACTATATAAGTAAACATGGGATGTAAATCACTTAGGCTTATGAAAACATTCAGTCACATGGAGAACACCAGAGTCAGAGAAGGCAGAAGCCCCACACCCACAGGGAGGGGTGTGGAGGCTGCATGGACAGGACAGCAGGGCCAGAGGCAGAGAAGCAGAGGGATATAGCTTCCAAAGCCACGGAGCTGGAAGGTAAGCATGAAACCCTGCCACAGCTGAAATGTGGCTCTCCCTCCTATCTCTCAGTGCCAGGGTGCTGGTTATCAATCTCTTCCCCTTCTCAGACAGTAACAAAAGCTTTACCATTTGCCATCAGGGTCTACAGCTGTGGGCAGAGAGCAGCTTCAGCACTCTCCCTCCTCTTCTGAATATAAAATAAGCTCTTTCTAATCCTCCATTTTTAATGACTTCAGGCAATGGCTTTCATGTCCTCCCTCCCCGCTCCATCCTACCCAGATACCTAGAATCACGCAGCAAGGAGAATCCACAGCCATCAGACCCGGGAGCAGGGTTCAACCACAGCAACAGCAGCAGGGAACAGTGGAGTGGAGCCTGGGACTCCGGGGACAGTTCTTCCATTGGAATCTGCTCCAAAATTCACAGAGAACTGGGAACTGAGAGCACTCAGTGAGAGGCCTTGCTTTCGGGCATGTGCCGGTGATCGGTAATGTCTGTGCTGGGGGCGGGAGGAGGGACGAGGGCTGTGTGGGTGCACTCTGATGCACGGAGATGCTGAGCAAATTCTCCCTGACATTTTTTCTTGAGAGACAAGGCCCTGAGAGGAATCTACCTTAAGCCACTCAGCTTTTCTGAGACCCTCTTCCTTCTAGAACCTTTTATTGCTGAATTCAAAAGGCTGTGGGAAATTCCATACAGAGAACACTGACAAATTCCATACAGAGAATACTGGCAAAGGTTCTGATGAGGATGCTGATGTTTCTTGGACAGTGAAAAATACCCCAAGGCCTAGAGGAGAAGCAAGGAAGTATGTCTAACAACTCTAGAAATGTAGGTGTTTGGACAAGGAAGAAACCAGAATGCACAAAACAGAGAGCCTGGGATAGGCTATTCAAGAAAATTGTTCTAAGCCATAAAGTCATTATATGTAACAAAACTTACATTTCTATAGCACAGTCACAAGTTGGGGTTGGTCTATACAAATGTGAGTTTCGTCACTTACAATCACAAATCACAAATTGGAGTTGGGATTGAGGAAGGAAGATGGAGAACAGAAAGAATGTTTGAGGCTTAGCACCTGCTAACTGGAAAGAATAGGCATATTTCTGCACCCTTGCTCCCGGTGAGGGTGGCGGGCTTAATGTTTCTGAGGACTCTGTTCAAGAGTAAATGGGGATGATGATACAAGGACAGGTGCCTTCACTTCTCTGGCTGAACTTCACTGGAGTTTTTTTAACCCTCCTTGAGCCTCAGTTTTTTGGGGGAAGTTGGGAGGATTCAACAGCATCACGGAGGAGTTGCTCAGCACATCTTGACCACTGGGAGTTATCATTCCTTTTAGTTGATCCTCACACACTCCTTTGAAAGTGAGCCAGGCACTTGTTACCACTCTCACCTTACAGATGAAGATGATCAGTGACCCTGAGTGGAGGCCCCGGGGTAATTCAATTAACGGCCCTAGGAAGACTTGAACCCAGGACCTCCAGTACTTTTTCCACCCCAACTCTGCCTGTTCAGCTCATGCTGCTGCTAACCCATGGCTGAGATCCACCCTTGGAGGGGTTTTCTTAACAGAAGGATGAGGGTTTGGCTCCGCTGTCCATCCGCACTCTTGCTCTGTCCCCTCAGAGCCCCTGGCAGCAGTGGCATGGCTGTCGTGACTAAGGAACCGTGTTCTCCAGGTCAGAGTTCACTGATTCACGGGAGAAAGACCTTGGCCTAACCAGCACATTTCATTCACCTAGACAAAGAATACGAGCAAGTTTCCAGATCCCTTTGTGTGTTAGGCAATATATGAAAAGATTTTTTAAACAAAGACAAAGCTAAAAGGATGTGATACCTAAGGGAGGCTTACCCTCGCCTGGCCATGGCGAGATGTGGGCCACACTGTATACTCTACTCCCCACTCATCCATCAACTTTCCAATCTAACACACACTTCTTTCAAGAATCCTGCTCTAAGAATGGGTGGAGAGCAAAGAGTTAATAAAGAGTAGTTTACTGGAGTGATTGCTCACCGGACTCTCATTCTCAAAACAATAACACCCATCATCAGCCTAATACCATGTTGCATGTTCAGAGCTTTTCACTGTAACCAAGCACTACCATGATCTCATGAATACAGTTTTCCCACCTGCCAGCACCTCCTCCATTTCCCAGGAAAACTCTAAAGCTATGCAAACCTATAGGAATAAATAATCCAGAATTAACCCAAGCTTTAGAATGGGGTATGCTTTCCTTCATTATTTCATTAGACTGTAAGCACCCCAAGGTCAGGACCTACAAAGACTTGCAAGCCAGGTTCTCAGTATGTAGTTGAACAATAGGTTGATATTGAGTCACTCTGTCACAGAACAAGAACAGCAACTCTCCTCCCAGTGTTTAAAAAAAAAAAAGAAGTCACTAACTAGACAGCGCTGAGAAGGACCCGTTTAGCTGATGCCACGGACTCTTCAGCCCCTGTAAGAGGCAACTGTGCCCTCAACTCACTGCTCAGAAATTGGTGACCTCCAATTTTAACCTCCCTCCAACCCATTGTGATTGTGAGTCCTTCTGCATCGGAATGTGTCGCCAACATTAGTCACCAGCAACACCAGAGACCTGCACACGGACTGAAAACAAAACAGATGCTGTGTGCAGCCAGACTGCTGTGCAAGCAACCCATTTAAAACAGCAGCAGAAAAAGACATGAATGAAACTAAAAATAAAGAGACAGTGCTATCGTCCTGATGTCAACCTACGATATTTTCAGAGCCCCCCTAAGAGAGCTGAGGGAGGAAATAGAATCACCTTTGAACAGAAAGCAGGTTTTAGGGGACCTGAGGAGTTGGGGTTGAGGAAGGAGGATGGAGAACAAAAAGGACATTTGAGGCTTACCACCTGCTAACTGGGAAGAAAAGGCATATTTCTACACCTTTGCTCCTGGCGGGGGTGGCGGGCTTCACGGTTCTGAGGAGTCAGAGAGTAAATAGGGACAATGACAGAAGGCCAGAGCCTTTTCTGCCCTACAGTGTCCTGCACCTCTCAGCAAGACTTACAGTCCAGGCTGACCTGCCCAGGGACCCACTCAAGCCCTGCTGGAAGCAGCTGCCCTCTCTTACCTGCCTGGCGGTGGGCAGCGCAGCTGGGAAGGTGTGGCTGGTGCGGGCCCCAGCTGGGCATGGCTCGGTGAGGCCCTGAGTGACAGTCAGCCACCTCTTCCTGGCACCTGGGAGAGGGTGGCAGAGGGTGGCCCACTTCACCCAGCGCCCCTAGAAGAGCGGCTGCAACATGCTGCTCCCTCCGGCTCCGCTCCTCTCCAGGCTCTGCATCTCATGAAAAGGGAAAGAGCAAGTGAGCGGCAGGGGAGGGGGTGGGGAATCAGAGGGAGGGGAGAGGGGTACTCTGACAGATGATGCGCACTGCCACGCAGAGTCGGGGGAGGACCGCAGGCTCCAGCAGGATGGCACTGCCTGTGTGGCTCTCCCGCTCCCAGCTTGCTCACGGGCAGCTGCTGCCGAGGGGCTGGTGGCTCTCCAGAATTCAAGGAGAGGCAGAGCTCAGAGGGGATGGCAGAGGGGGAAGTGAGGGAGGAAGGAGATCACCTGGGGCACAAGGAGGTGAAGCAGGGTAACTGGCTTGTGGGAGAAAGGATAACCTGCTTTTGCTCAAAATCATTCCAGGGTAAAAGTGATTGCTTTATGAGAGATGGTGAAGAGAGAAAGATAAAGCCCCATATTCCTGGCCTGGCTTCACGGTGGTCTCTCTCTCTCTCTCTCTCTCTCTCTCTCTCTCTCTCTCTCTCTCTCTCTCTCTCTCTCTCCTTTCATAACCAACAAAGCCACTTTTGCTTAGGATTTAAGCAATAGCTAAGGCAATTTATATCAAGCACAGCTCCAACTTTCTCAAAGAGGCAAAAAAAAAAAAGAAAAAAAAGACATGAAAGAGTGTAATGCATTAAATGTTCTGTGTCTTTTGTCACATTCTACTGCAAACAAGCCTGACTGCCCCCTCGACCACCTGCCTATCCTGTGGCTGGGGGGTCATGGTGCCAAGAACAGGAGCAAGAGGGAGCATCAGGGGGAGATGGAGAGAATGTGATGCTTCTGTATGTAAAGATCCATTTGGAGAGCCAGGAGAAAGCCTCCCGGACAGCTTGGGCCAGTGCCTAGAGCAGCTTTGGAGTGCAGAGATGACCCTTCACATGGATCCCACAGTCCTGGACCTCCCATGCACTGGGGCAGGTTCACTGCATAGGCCCGGAGCTCAGAGTCACCAGCTCTATTTACAACCACAGCCAGAGAAAGAGGCTGACAGGGAAATAGATCAACAAATCCTGGAAGCCAGAGGAGACCAAAGGAAGCTGCAGCTGGGGAACTGGCACAGCTAATGAAGGGAAGAGCGCTCTCAAGCAAGGGCCTTCTCTGGAGGGAGGGAACAGGAGGCAGAGGGAGCGCAGAACAAGACTGCTGCAGGTCTCCAGGGAGCCCTCCTTTCCTGCTGCACTCTGGGTGTTCTCAGTCAAGCCTGACTCCAGAGGTCCTGACAAGCACTGACCCAGGAGATGACCTCTCAGGGGGACAGGTCACCAGTTCACTGCTGCGCCATTTCATCAAAATCAGGCTGATTCGGCAGACAACACTTGGGAACCTACTGTGTGCTGTGGGGGATGTAGTGACGACTAAGACCTCCTTGTCATGTCTTAGGTGATCCAGTGGAGGAGAGAGAGATTTAAATAGAAATTGCTGACTCCGGTGCATGGAGAAGTGAGTGAAGTACTCACAGAGCTCGGCAGAAATGCTGAGGGAGCACAGCGGAAGAGCAACTAAGTCCAACTGAAAGTTAGAGAAATCACCTCAGACAAGGCATCTTCTGGACACAGCTTGCACCCTGAAAGGTACCTCTGGATTTCGACAAGCAGAGTCAACTGGGCTAGAGAACGCAAGGCTGAGGAACAGCCTGGGCCATGGCACAAAGTCTAGAAGTACCTGGTCGTTTGGGAAACAGAAGATGTTCTTTTTAGGGAAGCGGGAGATAAAAGTAGTGTGATAGGACTGTCGTGGTGGTAAATGCAATGCAAAGGGTTCATTGCGAGGAGACGGTAAAACTTTAAACAAAGAAGTGTTGATCAAATCATTTTTTTAGCATCAGATCTGTGTTTCGAGGTGATACTAAGTGGAGAGGGATTGGAGGCAAGTGAAGCCCATCAAAACTTACTACAGGCTGGGCAGTGGCTCATGCCTGTAATCCCAGCGCTTTCTGAGGCCAAGGCAGGCGGATCACGAGATCAGGAGACTGAGACCATCCTGGCTAACATGGTGAAACCCCGTCTCTACTAAAAATACAAGAAATTAGCCAGGTGAGGTGGTGGGTGCCTGTGGTCCCAGTGACTCCGGAGGCTGAGGCAGTAGAATCTCTTGAACCAGACAGGTGGAGGTTGCAGTGAGCCAAGATCACACCACTGCACTCCAGCCTGGGCCACAGAGCAAGACTCCATCTAATTAAAAAAAAGTTTTTTTTAACTTATTATAAATTCCTAGGTGAGAGAGGATAACAGCCAAAAAAAGACAATGGACTTGAGAGGAAAGGACACAGTACAGAGATTTGGGGAGGCTGAATTAGCATGACGTGATCCTCGGTGAAGGTACAGGGTGAGTTCAGAACTGGGGGCATGGGGATGGGAAGGAGCTGAGAATGACTCTACAATCTCATTTGAGAACTAGTTTTTGAGGCTAAGGGACCTAGGAGGAAGAGCAGAAGATAAAGAGGAGATGGAAATACAGCATTGGAGCTTAGCAAAGAGGTGGCAGGTGGGAGGTCTCCACCTGAAGAGAAGAGTAAATGGAATCACTCAAGGACAGCGAGAGAAGAGGGGCTGAGGGCAGGACTCCCAAGAAATGACTACATTTAAAGGCAGAACAGAGAAAGATACTGAGGAAAATCATCAGAGAGAAAGAGAGTAGGAGGACCAGAGGAACGAAGTGTCACAGGAGCCGGGAAAGATGAGCCTTTGAGAAGAGTCAAATACTGCAGAGAAGTGAATGTGGGTGAGAATGGAGATGAAAATGGCAACATGAATTTTAGTCATAGGTGACCACAGAGAATGTGGCTTAGTGCAGTAGGTCTCAGACTTTAAGGAGCATGAGAATGCTCCAGAGAACTTCTTAAACTATGGATTTCTGGTCCCCACTCCCAGAGTTTCCAATTCAACAGGTCTAGGGTGGAGTCTGCGAATTTGCATTTATATTTTTTTCCCCCAGAGATGGGGGTCTGACTGTGTTGCCCAGGCTGGACTTAAACTCCTGGCCCCTTAAGGGATCCTTGGGCCTCAGCCTCCCAAGTAGGTGGGACTACAGGCATGAGGGCTCCAGGAATTTGAATTTCTAACAAGTTCCGGAAGATGCTAATGTTGCTGATCTGGGTACTACCTTGACAACTATTGGCTTAGAGTACTGCTTCTCAGATTTTCAAATTACAGCACACACAGAAAATAATTTTTGTATGGGACACCAGGGTAAATAGAACCATGGGCCCTGCCAGACTGCCCAAGGGCTGAGGGAAGAAATATCTCAGCACACGGCAGTGTACACGAAGCAAGCAGGTTGGGGAGGTTTGAGAGGAATGAAAGGGAAAAGGTCAAATGCCACAGCGTGAATGCACGACCAGGCTCAAAGCACCTGAAAGGCAGCGTGCTTTCACCAACGGGAGCGCGCTTTCATCTTCCCAGCACCAAGTAAGTATCCAGCAGAAGCAGAAGCTCCGTATTTGCTAGAATAAATTGAATTAAGAAGTTTGGCTGAGAAGGAAAAGGGAGAAGTTTTTGCCTACAGAAAATACAGAACCAACTGAACCAGTACAGAAAATGCAGAAATAAAGAAGAAAAAATCCATATTTAAGAAGGCAGAAACATTTCTTTACCTATTGCTGGCCAAGGAACTTCACCATTTCCTTAGTGAAGAGGGATTGGAAGGCATCTCAGACCACACTAGAGTTCATGGTACGTTTACACTGATTTATGATAAACTGCATCATTTCCAAACCGCGTCATGTTCTATTGTCTGATAGGAGTAAGGCTTTAGAAACCTTCTGCCACTGTGCAAATCTCTTTATTAACTCACTTGCCAATATTTAGAGTGTTTATTCTTAGAATAAGAAGATTTGAATATTCAAAAGAAGAGATTAAAGAGTTTGAATGTATTAGAAACTTATACCATCTAACACCTTGTCTTGATTTTTATCTTTCATCTGAAATGATTTCTCCCAATAAATTGTAAGCTCTCTTAGAGCAGAGGCTATAACTAATTCATTTTAGCCAGTGCCCTGTGCAGTGCCTGTTACTTAGTAGACAGTACACACACATTCTCTCTCTCTCTCTCTCTCTCAATCTCTCTCTCCCCCCCGCCCCCCGCCCCCCACCCACCCCACCCCACCTTGGGGAAGACTGAAAGGGAGAAAAAAATGGGGAGGAAGAAAGAGAGGGAAAAGAAGAAAAAGGGCAAGATCTAATACATAATGGCTCCAGAAAATGTACGCACCCTAATCCTTGGAACCTGTGACTATGTTATCTTATTTGGCAAAGGGACTTTGCAGATATGGTTAAGGTTAAAGACCGAGTGATGATAATATTATCCTGGATGATCTAGGCAGAGACAATCAAATCATATGAGTCCTTAGAAGAGGAAGAGGAAGACAGAAGAGAGAGTCAGGATAGCCAAAGAAGGAGAGATTCAAAGTATGAGAGGGACTCAACCCATGTGTGCTGGCTTTGAAATGGAGGAAGAAGGCCAGGAGCCCAGGAACACAGTGGCAAGTAGAAGCTGGAGACCACCCCAGCTGGAGTTGATCAAGGACACAGGACATCAGTTGTGTAATCGCAAAGAATTGAATAAGTGCAGCAACCCAAATGCGCGGGGAAACAGATCCTCCCCTCCAGCCTCCGGAAGGGAACGCAGCCCCAGCAACACTGAGTTTAGCCCAGTGAGACCCTGTCAGACCTTCAAACTACAGAGCTGTAAGGTAATAAATCTGTGCTGTGTAAGTCACTCTGTCTGTGGTAATTTGCTGTGGTAGTAAGCAAAAGCTAACACAGAGGGGCTGTTCTTGGTTGCAGTAAGAACATGTCTTGCATTTCAACAGGAGCAAAAAGCAAAAACAATGTAGAGATATAGAAGACTGTTGAAAAACCAAAATCAGAAATTAGGTGGCCTTTGCCTTTTAGTGAAATGTAAGACCTAAATCTCTCCCTTACAGCATAGCACCTCTTTGTCTCTCTCTCCCTCTCTCCCTCTCTCTCTCTCTCTCTCACTCACGCACGCACGCACACACACACCCCACAAGTGAATGTCTGAGCTCAGTCTTAAATAATTTATTAGGATTCCTTTCCTTCCCCGGCATATCTTACTTCCAGCAAAATAGCTTTATCTCTCTGATTGATTAGCTACTGTTGAGGAGGTCTTCCTTTGCTCTCCCATACAGTATTATCTGTCACAGGGAACACAACTAAAGCCTAAGGTATAAGAGGA